TTTGTCCTCCTCCTCCCCCTCCTTCATCAACTCTAACAGCTGACGACTTTGCCACATTCTTCATTAATAAAATTACAAAACTCTACATATAATAACCTAGAACACTCTCTTAGACTTGATGGCTGCTCTGTCAATTTTTCGTCATCAGTTAGGAACCTAGGTGTGCTATTTGATAGCACTCTTTCGTTAGAAAGCCACGTTTCTAGCATTTGTAAAACTGCATTTTTCCATCTCAAAAATATATCTAAATTACGACCTATTCTCTCAATGTCAAATGCAGATCATGCGTTTAATGCGTTTATGACCTCAAGGTTAGATTATTGTACTGCTTTATTGGGTGGTTGTTCTGCACACAAACTCCACAAACTCCAGCTGGTCCAAAATGCAGAAGCTAGAGTTCTTACTAGAACCAGGAAGTATGACCATATTAGCCCGGTTCTGTCAACACTGCACTGGCTACCTATTAAACATCGTATAGATTTTAAAATCTTGCTAATTACTTATAAAGCCCTGAATGGTTTAACACCTCAGTATTTGAACGAGCTCTTGTTACATTATAGTCCTCCACGTCCGCTGCGTTCTCAAAACTCTAGCAATTTGATAATACCTAGAATATCAAAATCAACTGCGGGCGGCAGATCCTTTTCCTATTTAGCGCCCAAACTCTGGAATAACCGACCTAACATTGTTCGGGAGGCAGACACACTCTTGCAGTTTAAATCTAGATTAAAGACCCATCTCTTCAACCTGGCTTACACATAACACACTAATACGCTTCTAATATTCAAATCCGTTAAAGGATTTTTAGGCTGCATTAATTAGGTCAACCGGAACCGGGAACACTTCCCATAACACCCGATGTACTTGCTACATCGTTAGAAGAATGGCATCTACGTTAATATTAGTCTGTTTCTCTCTTATTCCGAGGTCACCATTGCCACCAGATCCAGTCTGTATCCAGACCAGATGGTGGATCAGCACCTAGAGAGGACCTCTACAGCCCTGAATTTCAGCGGAGATCAGGACAACTAGATGAGCCACTAAGACAGTTCCCCAGTAAAGACCTTGTCTCAGACGACCACCGGGACAAGACCACAGGAACCAGATGAGTCCTCTGCACAATGTGACTTTGCTGCAGCCTGAAATTGAACTGCTGGTTTTGTCTGGCCAGAGGAGAACTGGCCCCCCGACTGAGCCTGGTTTCTCCCAAGGTTTTTTCTCCATTCTGTCACCGATGGAGTTTTGGTTCCTTGCCGCTGTCGCCTCTGGCTTGCTTAGTTGGGGACACTTCATTTCCAGCGATATCGTTGACTTGATTGCAAATGATTGCAAAGATACTATTTAAACTGAACTGAGCTGGATGATGACATCACTGAATTCAATGATGAACTGCCTTTAACTGAAAATTAGTGTTTACTATTGTCATTCTGCATTATTGACACACTATTTTCCTAATTAATGCTGTAAAGTTGCTTTGACACAATCTGTATTGTTAAAAGCGCTATACCAATAAAGGTGACTTGACTTGATATTACATTTAAAGTTAATACATTTTAGATGAACTAAACTGCAAATTCATTATTATTATAATTTTTTTTTTTAAAATGACACAAGTTTGAATAGAAATGTCATTAAAGTATATTTTAGTTTACAATAAATGCTTGTCAGTACATTCAGCAGTACTTTAGCCATATTTCATAGACAATAAACGTAATTCTGAAAATACATATAAAGATGTACAGAAGTCCCGCTTAAGTGGGTCAACAAAGTTCAAGTAACTGTAATATGTAAATGTAATTTGATATAAACTAATATACTATATATATATATATATATTGATAAATTGATAAACTGTGGCATATTATACCCAAAAATTCTTCATACAGTGGACTACCTGTAAAACTGATAAAAAATTTGGGACCAAAAATTATCCAGACACTTTGACCTGACCATGTTTTGCTGAAGAGTTTTTTCTTTAATTGCTAATGCGACCTTTTTACTCCACAGACTGAACAAAATTAAGCATTGCTTGGTAGTTGGTTGAGCTAAATTGCTATTATCTAATTGTGTACTTAAATTTAACAGCTGTATACTTTTTGGTTGATTGTAATTCATTACATACCTTTCTATCAAAGTTATCTGACATTATCAAGATGAATTTGTTCTCTAACACAGTTTAACTCTGAGTTCTTGTCATATTTTATTACAATTTTCTAAACTATAGTGAATAAACTGTGATAATGTGAGAAACGCTGAAGGTGTGTGAATAAATTTTGGTTTGACTGTATGTCTAAAAGTGTATTGTTTCCCTAATAAGTAGTCTTTTTTTTTAAAGTATGCTAAAGTGTATTTCTTTTTCACAAGGGAAGGCTGATTTGTGTGTGTGTATGTGTGTGTGTGAGTGTATGAAGTGTTTATCTATCATATGTGTCCCTGCAGCACAAAAGCAGTGTTAAGTCGCTGGGGTATATTTGTAGCAATAGCCAACAATACATTGTACGGGTCAAAATTATCCATTTTTCTTTTATGCCAAAAATCATTAGGATATTAAGTAAAGATCATGTTCCATGAAGATATTTTGTAAATTTCCTACTGTAAATATATCAAAACTTAATTTTTGATTAGTAATATGCATTGCTAAGAACTTCATTTGAACAACTTTAAAGATGATTTTCTCAATATTTAGATTTTTTTGCACCCTCAGATTCCAGATTTTCAAATAGTTGTATCTCAGCCAAATATTGTCCTATCCTAACAAACCATACATCAATGGAAAGATTATTTTTCAGCTTTCAGCTTTTCCATTTATCCATTTATACAGCTTTCAGATGATGTATAAATCTCAATTTCCAAAAATTGACCCTTATGACTGGTTTTGTGCTCCAGGGTCACATTTATGTCTCTTCATGCAGTAACTGTAGTGTCTTCTGAAACTATCACACATGACGATGGTTTGATATGTTGTCTGTGTCAGCGCTGATCATGTGAACACAGATGTGAAGGAACCACTGGTCTGCTGATGGTCTCTCACCTCTCCGGCTCTGCAGAGCTGACAGCGGCGGTGTGGACACCTTCATGGCCAGTCCATACGCTCCTCTGAACGAGTGACTGTCCCTCACGATGAAGGAGCCGGGCTCTCTGTCCTTCAGGACCGTGATAGCTGCGTGAGAACAGAGAGAGGTCAGATGAGCGTCGAACACCGCAGCTGTCCATCAGCCGTCACGATGGGATCCGTACCTTGTTCCCGAGCGATGTCGGGCTTGTACCAGTATTTGGAGGTGTCCTGGACGAAGCTGACGGTCAGCCGGTCTGAGGGCAGGACGCTGGGGAAGGGGATGCTGAGCGAGGAGACGCTGTGAGGACTGGAGAAACCGCTGGGAGACGCCGAACCCTGCGACAGCTCGCCGTCAGACTCCAGTGCCTCCAGCTTCTCCTCAAAAGGCTGCTGCAGGACTCGGGCTCTCGGGCCGCTGAGAGGAGAGCTGTGGGCGTTCGGAGCGGGCAGAGACGGGCCGGAGGAGGACGGGGCGAAGCTCACGCAGTCTGCAGACCTGCAGCAACAACAAACAACACTCTACTGTCATCATCAACAACTCAACAAATCTCACATTAGTTTTCACATCAGATTTTGACAGAATTAAAATCATTCAGAGCTACAATCTGATCTTACAGGGTTCATGAAATGCATTTTTAAATTATTTTAATATGTTTCCTGAGGTGCACTCATAATCTTCAGGGCCGTTTACACATCATCATTTTCAACTAAAAATGGAAAGCTTTTCATGCATTTTGGCCGTTCATTTACACGACAATGGTGAATTAGGGGCCTGACAACACACACTTTTGAAAACCGGTTTCAAAGTGCAAGTTTTTGAAAACGATATATTTTTGCGGATCCATGTGAAAGGGGAACCTTTTTGTCTGTACGTGAAACTTATCAAAAACACAAACGAAATACTTAATAACGTAAAGTCATAATTTCAATATAGACAGTGATTTTCTACCCCATATTTCTCCTCTGATTTGAAGGCTCTGTTCAGAGGGGCGTGTCTGCTGTCTAACATCACTGAATATGAAATAAGCATTACACAGGGAACTCTCTTGAAAACGTTTACTGCATTTTTACTACAACAGCTGCCAAGATGAACTAATCATGACGTCACGATTCTCCCGATTTCAAATCCAGGTGTTTCAGAAGGGTAGAAATGAATAAATCATTTTTTTTTTAAATGGGGAGTTAATTTTAAGCTCAGAAACTTGAAGTATGTTGAAGAGCTTTCTTAATCTTCATTTTATCAATTGTCTCCAGTAGAGCTGCTTTACAGCTAAAACTGAATTTGTTTCATACCTGATGAATTTTACATCATGAACACTGTCATTTCCCTGCTTATGAATGTGAAGCTGCTTTGAACCATCTGTATTGTATAAAGTGCTGTAGAAATAAATGTGACTTTACTGTCACTGGACTACAGAACGTCTAAAGGGACACAATTTTTGGTCTTATTTACCTACCTTGATTTGAAGGAGGCTAGTAGAACCATTTTAGTTTTATCTCTAGTGATAAAAGGTTTATTTCACAAAAATTATACCTTGCAGATGCAACATGTTAACATTTAATTTTAAAGGTATGCAATATTCCAATGTATTAATCAAAGCATGGCATCAAATACACCCAGTCTGGACTGAGACCAGAACATCCAGTGACCCTGAGTAAAACCAGTCTGGACCAGAGAAGACAGGTCAGGATTTCAGCTATGGAAATCTGTCTTCCGCAGTTCTTTCTTTCTGTTAAACCTGGCACTGTGTCATGAATGCATGAATGAATGAATGAATGAATGAATGAGTGCAGCTGTACCGGTCAGAGAAGGCCGTGACTCCAGTGATGTACGGTCTGTGATGCTGGAAACCTTCATTTGAAGCTCCCATGAATCCTGCATTCTCTCTCATATCTGAAAGAACAACATGAACACGATGCACTCACATCTGCTCACATTCACAGGACAACACTGAATGTGAGGCGTGTGTCACTGAATTCACAGCTAAACATGCAGTGAGACGCTGTGTCTGTCACTCCATCACGATCAGCTCAGCCAATCAGGTGAGTTTGGGGGCGGAGCTAATCGGACAGATGGGATGTGTTTTGGGATGCTTCATTGAAGTTGCATTCGGAGACACACTTCACACACTTTAATTCATCTAAAGCGTGAACCATGAGCACACATGTGGTGATGCCAAACACAAAACGAGTAGACACACAGTTTATATTTCACTTACTGGTGTAAAATTAGTAAATTAACCAGAAAATCCAGCAAACTAGTGAAGAAGAACTAACACATTTATTTCTGTCATGCTAATAAAGCATTCTGAATTTAACACAAACCAAACTGATCAAATTCACTCACTAGATAGTCATCATAAGTAGCTATAAATATCTTTTGATAAATATCTTAAATATCTTATTTTAGTGAATTGTGTGATTTACCGTGTTCAGCTCTACAGGATCCAAATGAAGGAGACGGCGTCTGTCTGAACGCTGAGTAGCCCATCATGCTCTTCACTGGAGACAGAGATCAAGACACACACACACACACACACACACACACACACAGAGTGTGTGTGTGTGTGTGTGTGTGTGTGTGTTACCGTATGGAGTGGGTGGTGTGATGGGGAAGGTTGGTGTTGAGGGCATCATGTCACTGCCAGTGTCCAGTGAACTGTGAGACGAGTATTGCACACTATCTGCTCTGAACACCGCTGCATGCTGCACACACAGACACACACACACATACAGTCACTGGACAAACCTAGCAACACACCCAATACAGGAATAACAAAGTTATTATTGATTGTGACTTTGTGCACTGCACTTACAACAAATAAACACTGTGAGGTAAAACGGAAAGTAAATATTAAATATTATGCACTATTTCCAAATTGAATAAGCAAATCTGTGAGACTGATCATGTGACTCTTTGTATGAGACCCTTGCCATTTTTGCCATTAAAGCAAAAAAACAAAAAAAACAAAAAAAACACTAAGGCAATCTGAAATTCATGCAAAATTTTCAATTCAACTTTTCACAAAATAACTGTTTTCTATGTGAATATCTGTTAAACTGTAATGTATTTCTGTGATGCGCAGCTGTATTTTCAGCATCATTACTCCAGTCTTCAGTGTCACATGATCTTCAGAAATCATTCTAATATGCTGATTTGCTGCTCGAGACACATTTCTGATTATTATCAATGTTGAAAACAGTTGTGCTGCTTAATATTTTTGTAGAAACCGTGATACATTTTTTTCAGGATTCTTTGATGAATGTAAAGCTGAGAGTGTGTGTGCAGTGAATGAGAAGCATTTGGTGACATACTTTGACAATCCACTAGTGCAGGGCTATTCAGTTAGTTTAACAGGCAGGGTCTAGTACCAGCAAACAGTAGCAAACAAGGTAATCCAAAACAGGCGAAGGTCAGGGCAGGCAGCAAGCAATCATCACACAGATAAACAGTCCAAGATCAAAAACACAAGGGCAAAGCAAGGCAAGGAAACACAGAAAACATGGGAACTAGGAAAACATTACAGACTAACAACCATCAGCGTCATACCTGTCAACCCTCCCGTTTTTCTCAGGATTCTCCCGTATTTTACCATTCTATCCCGCTATCATCCCGTTTAAATATTTTCCCGTATTTCTCCCGTATTTTCAATCTTTCTATTAAAAAAAATCCCACTGGGTGTATTTTATATGTTTGCTACATTCGCCTCCGGTAAAACTCCCGTAATTTGTATGGCCCAAACAAAGAACTTATACTGACTTCTATACTGGGCTTCTATACTCTTTGGCCCAAACCTCATTATATGAATAATCACATCAACATATTCCAAGGTTGTCCAGTTGCCAGATCTTGTATGAAACACTCACACAATCTCACACAATCAACACACAGATTTCAACCTATCTGTCCCCTCAACTTGGCAACCTACAGCCCAGTGATGCTACTGATATAGTTAGTACCGCGGGAAGGAAACAAGGATCACTGGTAGAAATAAGAGGAGAAGACTCAGGTGGTGCTCCAGTGAAAAAACTAACTAAATATACATGTAAATTGAGATATAGCTTACACTTCAAAAGGTTATGGTTTAATTGAGTAAATATGAGCGCTGCAAGTTTCAAAGTCAGGTGCTACTGCTTTGTTTACTGCAGTTACCAGGGAAACTGCAATATTCCTGGTGAAAAGCGCCACCTTAATATTATAATTTTATAATAAAATAATTTTATTATAAAAGCGGTCAGTGTGTGTGTGTGTGTCACCTGTGTGTGCGGTGCAGCAGCGGTCAGTGCGTGTGTGTGTGTGTGTGTGTGTGTGTGTGTGTCACCTGTGTGTGCGGTGCAGCAGCGCTCAGTGTGTGTGTGTCTGCTGTGTTCAGGTTCAGTGTCCAGGCCGTCTGTTCTCGTGCTCCAGTGAGCTCCGTCATGTCACTCGACTTTGGGCTCATAATGAATCTGTGCTCTGATGAGATATGAACACACACACACACGCACGCACGCACGCACGCACACACACATGCACACAGACACACACACACACACACACACACACACTTGTTACTTAGTTACTTTTTATTGAAAGCATTACCTAACTTTAGCATTACTTTTTTTCACCTGGGCTGGGCTTGCTTATTTATTTTTTAATAACAAAAAATCCAAAAGTTATATTTTTGGCAATTGTGAGGGTTTTTCCGCACCAAAAGTGAAATGAATAATCCTCAGGCTGAAAAAAATATGTCTGCACTTACTCCTGTAAAATGTTTAAATCTCAATTTTACATTTGAGATTTTAAAGTTTTAAAATATAAAGGTAAAGGTTTCAGAATTTCAATAAATTGACCCTTATGACTGGTTTTGTGGTCCAGGGTCACATATATGCGTGTACAAATACACACAGTTATCACTCAGTACTTAATCCATAAATACACTGTAACAAATAATAACCAAATCTCCCTTTTACAGTCATAAGGGTTTGAATAAAATGAGGAGGAGTAAATGATGACAGAATGATCAAGATTGGGTGAATTAACACTTTTCTCAGGCTTTAGGTGTATTACTCCACAGCAGAAGTGATCTCACCCGTCTGACGAGTCTGTGTGTTTGCTCCGCTGAAGCAGCTGGGTTTGGTGGAAACCGGCACGAAGGTGGGATCCAGGTCCAGGATGAGCTGGTTGAGCTGATGGATGGAGTTATCGATGTCCAGCGTCAGAGAGCTGAACTCCTCGTCGTGTTTCTTCTCCACGTCTTGGCTCTGAGAGACGGAGGGGCTCGACAGACAGCTGCTCTGCACTGAAACACCAGAAACCACCGCCTCATTCAGTAAAGTGCTCTTTTATACTCATCCAATCGAAAATCATGAATTCTGCTTTAAACCTGATTCTGGTTCAGTTTGAATAAAAGCAAATAACTTTCCCTATAGAAAAAGCAGAAGAAACAGTTTTGTTTAAGTTGTATTTTGTCTTCACATCAGAGTGTTGATGTGCAGAAGACTAGTGTTACTGACTGCTGAAATTATGTATTATTTTGGTGGGAATTCTTTAGGTATAAGAGAGAAAATATGATGCATATTATAAAACAAATCACAATAAACAGCGTGTTAACCTGCAACTGTTACCTTAAAGAGTTGCTACCTGATTTAACATATCATTTTTTTAAGTTGTGTTGGTAGTTTAGTTGCTATATTTAGTATTTTTTTAGTGCATTAAAGCCTTTCAAGTTAGATTTTATTTCTACTAATTAAACTAAATTAAACACTAACAAAATGTTTTAGTTTTATCTTAAAAGAAGAAAGTTACTTTTATATAATTTATCTTGTGTTTATTGTAAAATTAAGTTGTAAAAAGCCAAAAAATGATTTTATTAACCTGCACAGAGTAACTTTTTTGCTTGTGATTAAAGAAAATCTATCAAGTATGGTCTTTATAATTAATATCATGTATCTTTTTACCTCGTATAAATACATTTGTGTTTGGGAAAATTTAGAATAATTAAATTAAATTAAATTAAATACAGTATATTAAAGGGATAGAACATTTTTCATTCGATAAGACTACAAACAGCTGACAAAAACATCAAAAATAATCCAAAGTAATCCAGCCACATATGTGTTTAGAGCTGTTTAAACGCTGCTTGATCTGTGCAGATTTCTCACCTGATTCAGACCAGAATACTTTTTCACTGGAGGAAGCATTATTATGGATTATAGACTTATATTTAATGAGTTAAAAACGTCTTAATGCTGGATGTGTTTCAGCTTTTGTCTTCTCCAGATGTTAACTGATGGACTGGAGTGCTGTGGATTACTTGTGGATTATTGTGAAGTTTTTATCAGCTGTTTGGACTCTCATTCTGACGGCACCCATTCACTGCAGAGCATCCATTGGTGAAATATAGTTTGAGAGAACCTAATCAATGTTAGATTTGTGTGTGTTACATAGAGAATTGTGTGTTGTGTTTTGCAAAAAGTGTTTTATGAAATTGAAAACTGAGTCAAAGTCTGAGAATTAGTGGTTTTGCAGACAAGTAAAGATTGTGTGTGTAAGCAGCTGAAAAAAGACTGTAAAGTAGTTTGTTCTGCTCACCAGCGGGTTTAGGCAGCAGCTGCTGCATGCGGCTGTGGAAGCGCTGCTCTGTGGCGTCCTCCTCGGGCAGGTACAGGTACTGCTGAGCGGCGACCAGCTGCTGCTGATGGACCCAGGTCTGCGTGGAGTATCCAGCGTGCTGGAACACATGAGGCTCGTCTGCGCCAAAGCCGTCGGACAGCAGCGAGTTCTGGCTACTCTTGTGATAGGACGAGGAGAGCGTGCCCAGACTGTCCACGCTGTGCAGGTCGTGCCGTGAGGCCAGCGCTTCGTCGTCCAGGATGTCGCTCTCGCACTCCTTCGGTGCGTTCTCGTGGCTCGGCGGCGGGCCCAAGAGCGGCGGCTCCGTTGCGGTGCAGCCTCGACTGGTCTCGTCCAGGCCGAAGCCACTGAGCAACCGCTTGAGCTCCACACGCTCCTGCTGGCTGGGCTGCGGGGTTCTGGGCCAGCCGTCGGTGCGCAGCGAGGCACTGGACAGGCCCGAGTCGCTGCTGGCCGAGAGCGTGTGGTCGGGGCTGGAGGAGAGCGTGCCACTCCTGCTGCCATTCTTCCTCACCGAGCATCGGTCCAGCGTGAGAGCAGGAGACTGGAGAGGAGTCGCTAAAGAGAGAAGAGATGAACGTGACTCACTGATCACAAACACGACACTGCATGATGGAAACAATCAATCAACATTTATTTATATAGCACATTTAAAACAAGTGCTAAACAAGTGCTTTACATGTTTAAAAATTGCTCAGACAGACACAATACACAACAATATCCATCAGATGAACAAGATGGCGCCGCAAATGGCAGCCAGGAAATGGCAGCCAGCATATGGCAGCCAGGACGCTGAGCTCCGCGATTCTTCTATTGTTTTTGTTTGTTTGTTCTGTGTTTTGTCATTCTTCTTCTATAAGTTTTACCAGACGAACTCCTTAATTAATCTTTCATAATTATACAATCGTCATCACAACTAACATAGTTATATTTATATTAAACTGCACAGTTTGTAAATAACATATCTGCAAACTAATAAACATATCTGTACATTTATCTAAACAATTACATTTTTTTCCTATACTTCTATTTCTGTATATAGTACATTATTCAATTTTTCTTTTTTTTATTATATTAGTGTTATATTACATCCCTACTGTGTTATTCCTATGTATGTCTGCACTATCATGTATGTCTGCACTATGTTTGTACTTTCTTCTACACTGGAAGCTCCTGTCGTCAAGTCAAATTCCTTGTGTGTGTAAACATACTTGGTAATAAAGCTCTTCTGATTCTGATTTTGATTCTGAGTATCCATCACTGTTCAATGTCCCAAAAGCTAGGGGCAACTGTATGCCACGGTTGCCGTGATTTTTCCAAGTAAGACATGTTCCTGGATCAACATAACTGTCCAAAAATACAGACTTAACCCAATCCCAATCCCTACCCCTAAACCTAACCCTACTATAATTTATTCCTAAAATCAGAGGGAAATGATAGCTGATTACCAAGGTTGTAGAAGCACCTAATCCTGATCGTAAGCCTAAAACAGATATTTCCTGAAAAGTTATCCCTCAATTCTGATTGGTTGATAGGAATGTTGTTCCATGATCCAGGAACATGCTGTACTTGGTGAAATCACGTTCACCGTATGCCACAGAGTAAAGGTGTGTTTTCAACACACGGAGACTTTTTTGAACGGAGACTATTCCAAAGATGTGGGGCTGCCACAGAAAACGCTCGATCTCCTTTGGTTTTCAGCTGTGTTTTGGGAACATATAAAAGAAAACTCTGTGAAGATCTTAGAGGTCTAGCTTAGAGGTCTAGCAACACAATCCTGCTGTAACAGACATGAAATGTACTCCGGAGCAAGGCCATGCAAACCTTTAAAAACCATTATCAAAACTTTATATTGGACTCTAAAATCAACAGGAAGCCAGTGCAGCGAAGCCAGCACCGGAGAAATGCTGGACCTTGTGCCAGTCAACAGTCTAGCTGCAGCCGTGAGAGCAGATTCTTAGACAACCCTAAATATAACGAGTTGCAATAATCCAATCTGGATTAAATAAAAGCATGAATCACGGTTTCCATGTCCTCAAAAGTCAAAATTCTCTTTAATTTGTCAATGATTCATAATTGATAGAAGCTACTTTTAACCACAGCATTGACTTGTCTATCAAACTTCAACTCAGAGTCAAAGATTACACCAAGGTTTCTTACTTGAGTGTTGACATTAGTGGCTAAGGAGCCTAGATGTACAGAAAGCTCTTTGGCTAACTTTGGACGGCCTAAACTCACCACTTCCGATTTAGACTCATTGAGCTGCAGAAAACTAGAAGCCAACCATGCCCTTATTTCATCCAAACACTCAAACAAAGTTGAAATATTAAATATCATATACTTGCAAAGTATATGTAATAATATTACAACAAACAAGGATCCTTGAAACAAACCAACAAGCAATCCTTGAAGCAAGGATCATTGTGAAGCAACTCATGCTGTTCACTGTCATCCACCACATGAAAAGTGCATTCAATGTGCGTGAATTAAAGTGTAACTGCATTTTTGGTATTGCATCTTTGCTCCAAATTGATGTTTTGTTGTTTTCTTCCTGTCTGGTTCTTCCTGTGGTTCTGGTTCCTCCTTCAGTGTGTCTGGCTCAACAACACACATGGGACAAACTACATGCATCTCTGCAAAAGACAGCACTCTACCACTATTATCTGACGGTTTGCTGTAACCCGTGGACTGGCATACAGACAGACACAGAGCTCAGGACAGTGATGGTGCAGAGATGTTGAATTTCTGTGAGCTTTGAGTCACTTCAGCGTGTGCTTGTGAAAACAGGGCCTGAAATCTGCTGCAGGAATTCTCCTCAGAATGGGGCGTCTGTTTGTGCTTGATCAACCCCTCGTCATTAAAGGAGCTGGAACTTGTTTCCAAGAATATGTTTTATGCAAAACAGCTGTGGGGGACCTGTGATTGTGGCCAGACTATTCCTGTGTTTGTGAGTTTGAGACGGGTGTGAATTCTGCAGCGCACATGAAGTCCTGCCATGAGCCTCACCGCAGTCAGAAAAAGATGCATGGACTCTCGGGGTGGTTTCAGCGTGTGTGTGTGTGTGTGTGTGTGTGTGTGTGTGTGTAAAACAGCAAAGCCACAGTACAGAAAAAGACACAGACTGAATGTTGCCCAACTATGCAAAACAACAAATCATTTAAGGCGAGGTCAGGCAGCAGATGTGATATATCATAAAACTGAAGGAAGGTTACCTGTGCTTTAAAAAGACAGTGGGGTTGTACAGTAGGTAGGGGTGGGTGATATAGCGGTAAACACAATTAACCGGTAGAGATTTTGGACTATTGTCTCTATCGCGGTTACATGCTCATGTGACATTGCTGTGCTACATGGTCACGAAAACTTATCGTTTGCACGCGTTTTAAGCATTGTGATTTAAAAACTTGATTTTAAGCCGCTTGAAACGCAATCAGCAGCGAAAGAGAACTCATTAGGCTATCTAAGATTTGTGAAGATGGTGCTCATAGAGCGTGGGAGTATTGAACGGAGCTATTTTTGCCGCTTTATAGGCCTTGAACGGTTAAATACACAGACTTGTATGGCAAAATGCCTGTCTTTTCAAGTGAAAGCAAACAGCTGAGAAAGAAAACATGTAGAGTGGATCCGGGTAGCTCTTAAAGTGACAGCAGTCTAATATTCCTGCTGTCTGTCATTCATGTTCATCAAACAACAAAAGACAAAATCTCTCACTGCTCTTGACTAAATCACTTTTTGTAACCAAAGACCCTACTTTTCTTTTTATGCCATGGATTCATGAACTGCTGTTGCTAGTTTAAAAGATGTGACTAAGCCTTGTTTGGACACATGTTTGAAACTAATTTAAAAACTAACACCAATTTGGTTACGTGAATGATTAAATGACTCACTGATAAAGACTTCTCTAACTTGTTTCATTCCCTAAATAATCAGAATTTTTTAATGAACCAGTTGAGTAAATGATTCAACGACTCACTCACACAGTCATTTGTTGCCACCCACTGGTGTAATAGTGCAACCTGCAGAAAGAATCACTGTAGAATCAATTAGACGGTTATATGAGAACTCCTAAACAGCAGATTTCAGGACCAGAACTTACAGTTGTGTGTATTTAAAACAGGATACATACAATACCCAAGTACAACTCCTATTTTTGAACCTAATTAAGTTGCTGGACACACTATAATATAAAACAAGTAATAAACATTTGTTCTTTTGTTTCTTTATTGTTAGTGTAATATACAATATGACAGTAAAACATGTTCCTGATAAACAAACAACAAACTCTGGAGTATCTTTGAGGTGATTTGAGCGTGTCTGTGTAGCCAGAGCTCCTTCAGCATCATATAATCTCAAGCACATGTCCTCCCTTTTATAAATAAGCATTAAAATCTTCCTACCTTCTGCAGTGCAGATGTTCTGGTAGGAGTTCCATTTAGAGAATGAATCTGTGCTCATGTAGTCGACGGTCACATCTGGGCCGTTGTGCCAGCGCTCTGAACCTGAGTGAACAACAGACTGATGGATAACAGCTACACCGCCGGCCCTCATGTGTGTACAGCACTGCCAACAGCACATGACATGTGGAGAAACTTCAGCATTACCTGACAACAACACAGAAAAACCCACCTGAAATTCTTTCTGGGCCATCAGAGAACACCAACTCCACTTTCCCATAATCTGGAAATCTGGCATCTGAAATTGAAACAGCAGAATATCAACACAACTTCATTTTCATTTCAAATAAACTCAGTGCTCCTGAATGGGTCGTTGTGTCTGTAGTGGTCAGATGGCTGACCTTTGTTAGCGTGCTCCATGTCGTCTTTCTGAAACACGAGGCTGTAGGCCTGAATGGCACCCGTGTGAAACTGAACTCTGAATATAACGTCTCGCTCAGACCGGCTGCTCTTATGGAAGCATTTCACCTGCAAACAGAAGACAGAATATTGATATGCAATGGTGAGAAAAGCACAGTATTCTTCACTGAGATAAAGGCACGGATGAACGGGATGCTGAAGTGCTGCTCTGATCACCAAATCACTGAACGTCTATCTAATGTCTTTCGTTTTCCTCCATTACGTTCACTTTCATTCTTCATCTTCATTCTTCACTTTCTTCTTTATCTCCTTTATTTTATCAAGCATCTACATCATTTATAAACACAAAGCACTCAAACCTGTTCTGTCTGTTCATACTCTGGATTTATATTCTAGAATGTAGTCTAGTCTTAGTTTAGTCTTTAGTCTAAGCAGTCATTGTTCAGTATGCTGGCATGATTAAATGATGAAAAAGTGCATGAATTCTTTCTGTGGTTGCAGTTACACACTTGTTATTGACAAACGTGTATCCTAAATGTTTATTTGGTGTTTATTCAGGGTTTGTTTGTACCAGAATATCTCCCTTCAGTAGCTGTGCTGGTTCGAGGGCGATGCAGATCCTGTCTCTGTGAGCGGCTCCAACGTGACTGCAAGATATGTTCAGAAGTCTCAATCAAACCAGGGTTTTTATCATTAACTGAAAGTAAAACTTGAAAAATGTACATTGCCTGAAACAAATTAAACATTGAACTATAATAAATCAATACGCCCCGTGAGCAACAAAGTGGTTGCCGAGCAACACACAAACATAAACAAAGGTGTTTGTTACTTTGTAGAGTCATTTACAACAGCTTCGAACGCGGCTCAGCCAATCAGAATCAAGCACCGGAACTATCCGTTTTATTAAAAAAAAAAAAAATTATTTCAGCTAGTGGCCAAGGCAACATTTCTCATTTTCACTTAATTTATGTGGCAAAGTACTAAAACAACTAGAACTAAATCAAACTTAATAAAAACGATGTAGACATTTGAATAAATAAACAGAAAAAGAACAAAAAAAACAATTAATAAAATGAATAAAAACAACAAAATTGCTAAAACTTTAATTAAAATAAAAATGAAAACGGAAAAGACAAATAAATTCTAATTCAAAATATTAACAAAATACTATAATAGCATATCAATGATACAAAAAGAACACTGAGCATGAGATATTAAATCAAACCAGAATGTATATACTCAGTCATTAATATGCAGTGATGAAGCTATTCAGAAGTGAATGAACTCACTAGACTCCAGAGACATAGACCACCTGCATCCCCTGATACACCTTCAGATACGGCTGACACACTGCAAAACATCACGATGCAAGAGAAAGAACGGGTTATTCCTAAAACGGCTCCAGTTCTGGCTGTTGTAGCACTGGATTTCAGGGTTAAATACGTCTTTGCAGCACTTTCTTCTGTTGTGAACTAACTCGAACACATGATGCAGCTCAGAAGAGCACTGACCTCCTGCAAGGTCGAAGTGAGGGATGCCATGAATGATGATGCAGTGGAGGAAGAGAGGAGACGTGTTCATCTTGATGGAGCCGCTCAGGAGACTGCTGAGGATCCACACGTACCTGAACAAACAGCAGAGCTTCATCTGACACAGAGTTATCAAGTGTGCTCATTTATCAGGTATTCGGTCCTTCTTACATCAAGACAATTGCAATTATATTTACTTATATATGCACTCAATCTACTCCATCTTCTGTCGTCTGATTGATAGTTTAGAGTGTTTTATCCAGTCAAAGCTCTTTTAGTGTAATTGCTTCAGCTGGAGCTTCTCGTGTCAAATCTGTACTGATTTTTATCAAGTAAGCGTCAGAATAACTGCAGTAATATCTCCAGATGAACTCTTACTGGACTGAAGCAGCTCAGCTTTACTTGATTCTCCATCAATCATGTTTTAGAGTCTCAAATCTGATCCTCAGGATCTTTTGAGGAGCGTTTGTTTCCAGCAGCTTTACTTTCACTGTTCCTCAGCGGAGGAATGATCTTCACAAGCCTCCAGAACATCTCACATCTTCTGAGGAGCCTTTATTTCTTCAGCTCTCAATCACTGCATTATATGTTTGGAGCATTTCAATCTCATTTTACTGAGATAGATTATTGAAGATATAGAGACGACGACTTGTATTTAGATCATTTTAAGTCAGTATCTGCTCTACTGTTATAAAGATCTCACTGATTTACATTATACAAGCATCAGAATATCATCATATAAATATCAGCATCTGCAGCAAATTCCATATTTTTACTCAGTTTAGGCCAATATATGTGTAAACGCAAAGAAATACTGATAATGTAAGAAGAACTAGCGAAGAAAGACTGATCAGATCATCACACAGAAGAGCGTGTAGAGCTGCAGGACGTGTGTTTGAAGTGAATCACCTCTTCTGAGACGGCGTCATCAACGCAGAAACCTTGTCATCATAGAACTTCCTCATGGCGAAGCGATCTAAAGCCTGATCCGCACTGTCAGGACGATACGAACACAGCGTTACATCAGATTACAGCAATCACCAAACACCACAGCAGTTTTAACAAGACGTGTGTTGGGTCTGAAATGCTAAAACACTAGATGATGAAGATGAGAGCAGTCAAAACTCACAACATCAGCTGTGTGGATAAACTGTGGATCATTTATCCTTGCTTTGGCACAAAATACCTTCAACGACTACATCTTTCACATTACATACATTATTTTCTCCCTCAGACACCAAAACCACCAAAACTCAATGTACTTACAGGCCAGTCTGCATATTTCCAAACTCTTTACATAACATAATACAAAACGGAATAAAACAGATATTTCCTACATTTCTACAGTAATCTCATATTTAAATATATTCCAAATCTAAAAAACATGAAATACTATGCAGCTGAACACCTACACGCCTTTCAGTTTCATTACCTTCCATACAAAAGTGGAAACTTATGAATAATATTGTGCTGTAATGTAAACATAGAGTGTGTAACATTTATTGCAGTGAATCTGAACAGTACAGAGTGTCATTATTGTTCTTGTTACTAATGCTGCCTGATTTTAACTTATTTTTTTATGTCATTATGAGTGAAAAAGTGTGTTTGTTGGTTGACAATCTTTGCTAAAGTTATGAAGGGTTTATTTGAAACTGTATGAACTATTTTGATACATTTTGAATGAAATTAGCTGCTGTGCCAAACTGAAAGCTGGCCAGGAGAAATGTGTGAAGAGTTTAGAAAAAGTGACAAAAGTATTGAAAAATGGGCGATAAGCAATAATGATAAGCAATCACAAATATAATTTAATATCTCGGAATCAAATTAATATATAAATTTATACCAAAATAATAATAATTTTCATAAGTTAAATCAGGTAGAAAGAGCTCTTTAAGGTAACAGTTACAGCGATGTGGTTCTCTACACCTGAGGTTCCTCTGACAGGAGAACTAAAAATCAGCTTGATGTTAGTGAAGAGAAAAGATCCCGCAGATACAGACACTGGATTGAGCTTGTGTGATGATGACTGAGAGTGAGATCTGTCGGAGCGTGTGAAGAGCGAAGCTACCTGGCAGAGACGTCTGTGAAATGAACAAAGCAGGAGATGACCACTCCGATCCTGCCCTTCCCTCCCTGGTGAATCAGAGAGAGATCACGCATTACTGACACACAACACAGCTCATCCCTGGCCGAGCATGTGGTTTGGTGATAAGGCTGTATCAGATTCTCACCCTGCAGTGAATGACCACCACGTGCAGCAGATCGGCGTTCAGCCAGTCCTCTATGGCCTTACAGATGGAGCAGATCTTATCCAGAGGAGGAGCGTGGAAGTCCGGCCATCCCGTGTCCAGAGTCTGAGGAGACCAGCACATCAACACAGTTCAAATACACACCGATATCATGCTCCAGACTGGATGAGGCTGTAAAAAATTACCGTGATTTTAACGGTAAAAGACTGTAAATATTCTACAGTAAACACCTGTTTATTGGTTAACGGTAAGCTCCCCTACTATATACGGTGAAAAACTGTATTGGACATTACATGTAATTTTACGGTAGTATACCGTTTTTGGAAGTGAAAAAGAACGTATAATTTACAGTGAATAACCATAAGCTGACATTCCCAGAATTCCCTGCGTTACATTTCACATTCAATGTTTTTTTTCATTTAAATAACTATGTTTATTCTTGGTTTATTCTCATCAGTTGTGTACATTAGGATTGTATGTTACATCTGATGTTGATGTTTATTGCATTATTTCAGTTTCATGTGTGTTACCATGATGGTGTTGAGTGAATGACACTGTGCACCTTCTATATATGTTAGTATTGTGATGGGCTTTGGTTCATCATGTGACTTTCTCATCACCACCTGCTTTTGGTGGTTATCAGTGTATTACAAAGCTGCAAAACAGATTTCAGTACTTCAATAGGTTGCTATATTAACATTGTATCAGTTGATGAAAGTACGGTATTGAAATGTAAATTTAAGTTAAATCTGTAAAACCTAAAATGTGAGCCTGCAGCACAAAAGCAGTGTTAAGTCGCTGGGGTATATTTGTAGCAATAGCCAACAATACATTGTATGGGTCAAAATTATACATTTTTCTTTTATGCCAAAAATCATTAGGATATTAAGTAAAGATCATGTTCCATGAAGATATTTTGTAAATTTCCTACCGTAAATATATCAAAACTTAATTTTTGATTAGTAATATGCACTGCTAAGAACTTAATTTGAACAACTTTAAAGATGATTTTCTCAATATTTAGATTTTTTTGCACCCTCAGATTCCAGATTTTCAAATAGTTGTATCTCAGCCAAATATTGTCCTATCCTAACAAAGGCTTATTTATTCAACTTTCAGATGATGTATAAATCTCAATTTCACAAAATTGACCCTTATGACTGGTTTCGTGGTCCAGGATCACAAATGTGGCTACCATATTTTTTATGGTAAAATTCTGGCAACCACAGCTGCCGTTTTTTTATGTTACGGATTTTTTTTTTTACAGTGCACACTACCTTAGGGTTCATCTTAGTGAGCTCCTGCTTTCTCTCTGACAGGTTGATCACCTGGAAAACGAATGATGAAGAGTTAAACAGCATCAGCTCTAGACCGGAAGCCCATGATGCATGACGTAATGACAGAACTTCATCAGAGAGCGTGTCTCCTGTGTGAAAGCGTAACGGATCCTCACCAGATAGTTGTCTGCGTGTTTGGACTTGAGCATGCGCGTGACGTCTCTCAGGTTGCGCAGGTACGTCTCCTCGAAGCAGTCTTGAGGGAAGGACACCGCAATAATGCGCTCCGTCACATAGGTGAGGTCGAGTTCATATCCCTCCTCCATCTGCACACAGGAGACTCAAATCACCCCTGAACTTCAGAAGAGCAGCACAAGAAAGCTCAAGAGAACAAGTATGTGACAGGAGACGGATCTCATGTGCTACACATTCTCCAATGGCATAAAGTTAAACTTTTCTCATGTCACTCAGCAGCTCACAATAGAAAATGAATGGGATCATTAATGTTGCTCTGCCACTGAACAAGGCTTTAATGGAACAGCATCTAAACTGTTTTGAAAGACAATTGCACTTATTTTTACTGAATGTGCACTTGTAGTGTACCTTAAATCTTAGTATACACTGACGTTCAAAAGTTTAGGATCAGCTAGATTTTTTATGTTTTTTTAAAGAAGTATCTTTTGCTCATCAAGGCTGCATTTATTTCATCAAAAACAGAGAAAAACAGTAATATTGTGAAACATTATCACAACTCAAAACAACAGTTTTCTATTTTAAAATACTTAAAAAAAAATACTATTAATACTATTTTATTTTAAAATACTACTTTTTTTTTTTGTTTTTGTTTTTGGAACCTGTAATACTTTTTTCAGGATTCTTTGATGAATAAAAAGTTTAAAAGAACAGCATTTATTCCAAAATAAAAATATTTTCTAACAATATGTCTTCACTATCACTTTTTATCAATTTAACACTGAATAAAAGTATTCATTTCTTCAAATTCTTAAAACTATTTATATATCAAAGTATATATATTTAAAAACTGTACTTGCAGATAATATATTAATGAAATAAAGGCCACTTAAGTGACTTAAAGAGAGAACTCTCTTAACAAAATTAAGTACATTTCTATAAAGTGCACTTTGTAAAATGTCAAATTAAAAATGTTACTTTAAAGTTAATTTTAAATCATTATGTTTTAATAATCTTGTTTTAACGAAGGGCCCTTATTTTGAAGTGTTGACTAATATAATAAAGCACAAGTATACTTGATTAGCTGTAGTTTATCTGTGGTGTGTTAATATATTTAAATGTACTAAATTGCAAATGTGTAAACACATATATATTTAAATACATGACATACAAGTTTGAATAGAAAATTCAAAAAATGCAATATTTTAAAGTCTATTTTTTCTGTAAGAAGCAGGCTACTCTTTTTAAAGTGTACTTCTTTTTCACAAGGGCTAACATATAGCGAGCTTCAGCACTAGTTTAAATTTCTTTCTAAGAATATCTGAAAATCAGCCTTCTGTGATAGTATTAGTAGTGCGTGTGTGTGTTTGTGAAATATCAATGACAAACATCAAGCCGCTTCAGCAATGACAAATGAAAGGAGACATCTGTAAGTTTTGTTTTCTATAAGGACTGTTGGGTGAATATCAGTTCATCCAGCTGTCTTTGTGTTTCCTCCTGTTTATAAAGTGTCCTGTTCTGTGAGAGAAACGACTCATGAGTCAACTGTCCAAATGAGTCAGATCGAATGACAAACAATTTCACACCTTTACACAGAAAAGAACCGATTCAAAGGAACTGATTCATTTCGTGAATCATTTAACCCTTCAAAATGATATTGTAACAAACTAATTCCTGAGTTGAAGTTAAGACATCCGACACCCCACTGGATTTAATCTATTACAGTATCATTCAGATGAGTTGCTATTAACAAATGGAAACCTTTATAAAGTATCCTTCTCCTCGAACATTTGTTAGTTATATTCTTTAGTGTGAGTGGAGAAGAAGTGGAAATGCAGAAATATTTCACAAATGCTTCAGTTCTTCTAAAAGGGAGACCTGATTTAAACTTTGGGTATGCAAGTATATGCAATATATCTGAGTGTTCTGTATATGTTTTCCCCAAAACGTGTGTGTGTGTGTGTGTGTGTGTGCGTGTGTGTGTGTGTGTGTGTGTGTGTGTGTGTGTGTGTGTGTGTGTGTGTGTGTGTGTGTGTGTGTGTGTGTGTGAGACACTAAGACTGACGGGTGACAGCACTTCATACTAACTCAAATACTCTCACATTAGTTGTATATATATAGGTAACACTTCAGTATAGGCACCAATTCTCACTAGTAACCTGTTGCTTATTAGCATGTCTATTATTAATATTTTGGCTGTTTATGAGGCATGATCATAGTCTACATCCTTAACCCTACCCAACAACTAAACTTAACAACTACCTTAATATTAATAAGCAGCAAATTAGGAGTTTATTGAGGCAAAAGTCATAGTTGATGGTTTGTTAATAGCAATAACTGGACCTTGAAATAAAGTGTGACCTATATATTTATATATTATAATACCAATAACTCAATATACTGTTGGTCAGATCATTCAAAACAACAGAAGACGAGTCCACTGACAGCAAATGTGACTGTATGCTGTGTGATTACTTCTTCTGACTTTGCATTCACTGAAATATTTAATATAACTACATATTCATAATATTTCTATACTTTCAAACTCATTATCCGTGCTCACTTTGATTACATGTGTGGTCAAACGCTTGAATGTACCATCGACACTGATATTATAAAGTCTCACGAACTGTAACACGCTGTCAGTGAGCTTCAAAAACTTGGACAACATTTTCAAAGCAAACTGACTGAAAGTCACACTAAAACAAAACATCTTCAGCGCTGATCTGCAACCTCTTCTGAGAAAGAGCTGGAGTTACTGAAAAGCTGAAAGCCCAAGATCATCCGTCTGTTTGGCAGCTGCATGTGTGAAGCAGGAGAACAGAAGGAGCACGATACAGACCGAGGAGGACCTGATTGAGTCATCAGGAGCTGCATGTGCTCATGGAGGCTGTAACTGATGCTAAAGCACTATGTTCTATGACTGTGTCTGATTCATTCATCTGCACTAAATGTGATCCTGGAGCACAAAACCAGTCATACGTAGCACGCAGAGGTGGACAGTAGTGAAGTAGTTTTACTTTACTCAAGTAAATTTAAAAAGTATCTGTACTTTTCTTTGAAAAACTTTTAATTCTCTACATTCCAAAGCATAATGTACTTGTTGCTGCACTACATTTCATAAATAAAAGTTGTTGTTGTTTTTTACCTTTAATACTTAAGAACATTTCAAATGTAGCACTTTCTTGTACTCAAGTAAATCTTTGAATTAGTACTAGAAGTACTCGATTTCTAATGTAATTAAGTATTAAATGATATTTAATAAGAAGCATAGTGCAGTAAAAAGTACAATATTATGCTCTGGAATGTTGTGAAGTAAAAGGTTTCTAAAGAAAAAACACTGATAAAGTACAGACACTTGAAAAGTACTTTTACATCAGAGTAAAAATACCTCTGCACAGGTATATTTGTAGCAATATCCAACAATACATTGTATGGGTCAAAATTATCCATTTTTTTAAAATGCCAAAAATCATTAGGATATTAAGTAAAGATCATGTTCCATGAAGATATTTTGTAAATTTCCTACCGTAAATATATCAAAACTTAATGTTTGATTAGTAATATGCATTGCTAAGAACTTCATTTGAACAACTTTAAAGATGATTTTCTCAATATTTAGATTTTTTAGCTCCCTCAGATTCCAGATTTTCAAATAGTTGCATCTCGGCCAAATATTGTCCTATCCTAACAAACCATACATCAATGGAAAGATTATTTATTCAGCTTTCAGATGATGTATA